TATGTATATCGGTAACCGTTCTACCAATTTGTACCAAACTCGGTATGATTATTGTGCTTGCCGCATAGAAGCAAACCGTTGAAAATTATTGGAATCAGATTAAAATTACGACCACTTATCACATAACGGCAAATTTCAGAAATGCTTGAAACTTCAATATTTCGAAATTTAAGGACGCTAATTTACTCATTGATACACACCGGCTTACCATGTAGCGGTAGCTTTCGGAAAGGTGAAAATCATATATTTAATACTTGCGCCGGGTATTTAATGTTCGGCTCCGCCCGAACTTAGACTTTCTTACTTGTTTTTCTGTCCACCTTGTACTTAGGTCGTTAAGTGCAAATTGTAGCGTCGAGTTGTGCTTCTCTACGAGCAGAATAAGTTAGTCCTCTGAGTATGGAACTACTTTAATAGCCTTTGACGTAGTGTGAAGTAGAATTTCGTTTAACAAAAGGTTCCATAACAGAGAAGATAGAACCTCTTTCTGGGTAATACCTACGCAGGTTTTTGTTTCGAGAATAATCAACGATTTTCATCCCACAGTAACCACAGAGGAGTGGATAGATATAAAATGGTTGTTGTGCTCTTTTCACATAAGGGCTCCTTATATAAACCAGGCTAGAGTGTAATTTGCAAATTTATTGTTTACATCAAACCAACCCTATAGTATATTCCGCCCGATCCTAGTGGGAACTTTGGCAAATGGTTTTCACATCCTTTGGTAAAGGGAACAATGATGCGATTTTGCGGGGTTATTTACAGCATATTTTTAGCTCATATTTTTTCTAGTGACTAGTTTCGTGTAGTGTTTTTGTGTGAGATATAATTTGGTTAGTAGGTCCAGGTTATATATTTATATTTACATATATGCACTTCTCAAATGCCTTAAAGCAGACCTGGCCGCTGCCATAATTCTTCTTGCAAGTCTTCACCTATGATGTTTTATATGTATATGTAAATATTATGCATCCAATAGAGAATGAATAAATTTATGTAAAAAAAAAATTTTAACACTTACAGCAAGAAGATACGTTGGGTCTACCAAGTGTACCTACTACTAATTCGCTTCATGACAGATGACAGTCGTAATATAAAAAGTGGCCTCATTTCGCTGGGACTTTTTATGGTAAGAATAAAAATATTGTATGCACAGCACTTCTCATTAAAAAAAAAAAGAATTTCTAAAAACGAAAATTGTTTCCAGGTTACCTCAATGACGCTTGCCATTATGTACTCGGGTGTAAGCGGCCTCACACAGACTTCGGTGCAAGATATTGCCGGCTCCATATTTATGGTATCCAATGAAATGATATTCACCTTCTCTTATGGCGTCACCTATGTGTTTCCCAGCGCACTGCCAATTATGCGACGTGAAGTGGGCGAAGGCACTTACAGTCTCTCAGCCTATTATGTGGCTGTCGTATTATCATTTGTACCGATGGCTTTCTTTAAAAGTTACTTATTCTTCTCGGTTATCTATGGTGCTGTCTACTATACAAGAGGCTTTATGCTTTACCTGTCAATGGGTTTAGTTTTGGGTCTTTCTGCTATTGCGGCTACCGGTTACGGTCTCTTTCTATCCAGTTTCTTTGAGACAGTTAATATGGCTTCCGAATGCGCAGGACCATTCGATTTACTATTTCTAATATTTGGTGGCGCTTACTATAATGTGGACTCGATACCGTTAATTAAGTATTTATCATTGTTCTTCTACTCCAATGAGGCTTTGATGTATAATTTTTGGATTGGTGTGGATGAGATCGGTAAGAATATGGCATTCGATTTTGATGATCAATTATAAATAAAGATTGTAAAAATATATTTTATGCTCTCATTTGAGTACAGATTGCCCTAAAAAGTTGGATCATCCGTGTTTGCAAAATGGTTTGGAGGTTCTAAAGCGAGGTTCTTTCAAAACGGCCGATTACACTTACTGGGTGGATTGCTTGGGTCTGCTGTGCGTCGCTGTTATTTTTAATATAGTCGCTTATTTCTTTATAAAAAAGTATGTGAAAAGAAGTGGTTACTATTAAGACACCAAGTTTTATCACATAAATTTGTTTCCATCAGAATTTGTATGAATACAGCCACTACAATTTAACCTTAAGACACTATTGGCTTATATTTGCATTACAAATTAATGTGGGGTATTTAGATAGTGTCCTTTAATCGCGTATTTTTCTCGCCAAAGCTTTGATTATTAAATAAATATAATTGAAGCAGGTTTTACAATTTTTTTCTAAAAAAGGCAACCTCTGCTGAACACACAAACTTCTTGTACGCACGCCTTCTGCCTTCCCTTTATTTTTCTGAGAAAAAAAAACCGTCTCGCTTTCCTCTTCAACACATGATAGTGCGCCTGTTGCATCCGACCGCAGTGTGGGCCCACCTAAATCGGATTTGTTTATAGGCAAAATGTCTGTATTGTTGCATTCTACTAAATGTACCATGTACAATGTAGTACAAGGCGTATGAGTGACATTACTTGATTAACAGGGCCGTTCTGGTTAAAATAGTTGAAAGGCTTTTTAAGACGGCAAGTTAGTTTGAAAGATTTTGTTTATTCTGACAAGGAAGTCTTACAAAAAAGCTCCTTTTAAACTTTTCACGGCGAAAAGCATGTTTGACAGAAAGCACTTGTTTGTAAATGATTTTGCTCGCGCTGCCCCAATAGTCCCAATGGCCGAGTGAACAAAACACTGGCATGTCATTCGAGTGATCCCAGGTGCGAGTTCTCGGGTTTTTCTTGTTCTATTTTTAATCTGTTATTTTTAGTTTTTTTCCTTTATTTTTAGATTTTATTGTTTTAAAAAGAAATACATATGCATATGTGGTTCATTTCATTTTTATTTAATTTTCCTCTTTTTCATTAAATTTTTTTATTTTTTATTTTTCAGTTTTATTGTGGCTTATTAACATTTTATTTTAATATTGTTGCTTTTCCATTTTTCCTAATAATCATAACGCTGTGCAAAGCTCAATAAAAACATTATTTTTTTTTTCAATAAATTTTTAGAAATTTACATATATTTTTTTCTTCTTTCCTTCATTAAATTTTTTCTTTTATAATTATATTTTCTATTAAATTTTAATTTTATTGTTTAAAAAAGAACAATATTTCTTGTTTATTTTCATTTAAATTTTAGGAGCTTATTTTTTTTAATTTTGATTTCTTTTGATTATTTTGTTTCAACTATTTCTTTTTGTTTTCAGATTATATTATTTTAAAAACTACTATTTGGTTATTTAATTTTATTTTTATTTTTTTTAAAAACAAATATATAAAATTTTTTTAATTTCACTAAATTTTAATTATTGCAAAAAGGCAAACATAATAACGATAAAGCCTCCTTGTTAGCCTTTCGAAAGAAAGAAAAGAGCTTTCATGATAGTTAATAGAATTGACAATTGTCTCACGAAAGGCTTTTATCTTGCTTGGCGATTCCTTAAATGCGAATGTATCAAATTATCTAACAGTGAAGTACTGCATAATAATAATAATAGATTGCCGCTTACTCATATATGTTGGTGTTTGGCCGAGCTTCTCCTCCGATTTGTGGCGTGCGCCTTGATGTTGTCACACAAAGGGGAGGAACCGTTTTAATCCCTTTGTGGTGCTTCGAGTTATACCTTCGAAGGTCTTCCTTATCCATTTCCAATATGAAATGCTTAATGTAGTTTTGTATATTTGAAATAATGGATTTTACTTTGGGAGGAAGGAAAATTGCATATTTCTGACTAGAGGGCAATAATTTTTGCTTGAATTATTCAGATTGCACTGAGGGTTAGTCAGGTAGAAGACATACATACATATACTGCGCCGTTACTACTTATGAATGTTCCGGTTAGTCATTACATAACTTTAGTATGTATATACGTCCATGTACTGCAGAAATTCATAGTTCTTTTAGTTGAAGAACTCACCACAAAACTTCCGAAAATCAAAGCATTCGCATTTGCAAAGCAGAAAATTTAATTCGATTTCAATTCCTTACTTCGTGCCGAAACTTTTCACTTGCACACATATACACTACAAACTAAAGTACTAAACTACTAACTACAAAGTACTAAACTACTTACAAACTAAAGTACGACGGGTACTCCCCTACGAGTATGTAATGCAAGCAAAACTTCCTATTCCATTCAAATAACTATTTGACTTGCAAAACTGTGACTAACTAAGTTTTTAGTTGTGTTGCATAACTGCGTATGTTCTACGTATGTAAGTATTTATGTAAAGATGGATTGATAAAAAGGCATTCAAAAGAAAATATCATATTTTTGCTTTCGGTTGCTAATGCTGTTTAATGTTCTTATTGTTTTTGCCAATTTACACAAAGCCAAAAAGTCAGCATAAACAAAGTTTGCAGACGTTATCGATTCTTAGCGCGAGTCTGAATGAAAACAAATGAAACAATGAAACGTTTTAGAATACGAAAATTGCATAAATTTCTAGCGCATACAGTGGCATTGTGGAGTGTTAGAAGTTTGTACATTTGTATAGAGGGCGTTCCATACCAAAACGGACGGGGTTCACCCTTCATGTGTTTCAAGTTTTTAGGGTTCATGCATAACCATAAATAATAAATAAACATGCAATTTGAGCTTGATTAATACATTTTTAAAAACTTTACAGCACAAAAACAAAAATAAATCGATTTAATAGTTTTCAAAATATATCGAGAACGGGGCGAGGAAAAAAAGATAAAAAAATCACACATACACACATTAAAATTCTCTGTGAAAAGAAATATTTAAAAAGATTTTTTTCTATCAAAAAATTTGTTTTTGAAAATATATATAATTAAAGACGCGTATTTGTGTTTGTGCATATGCTAACATTAGGTAGGATCAGAAAATGGAAATGTTTGGACTGAAGGCCTAGATAGAGTTAATTTTTTAAGTATTTGGTTTTGTTTTTCTGTACTTTATTAATTTTTTGCAGAAAAATTTATATAAATTTACTAGAATCACTCCAGTTCGATACTAGTGGATTTCTTTGTAAGAAACTAAACCTTGAAAAAAGGATTCAATTGCGAGAATTAGTCTTATTTTCAGTTAGTCAAGCGGAAATCCGGCCCCGCTCTAACAGGATGATCAAATCCTGGCTTGCTTGATACTGCTTTGATACGATGCAACATTTGACATTTGTGCCACTGTGTGATCGAAGTCAATGAGGTCGCCGACGAGACGACGAGAAGCATCCTAAACTGCCTTTGTGGGACAAGAACAATTTTGTGGTCTCAGTTGGTATTCTTCGAGAGCTATAAGTTCTTAGTGGGTATACTTAGGATGCAGTAATTATTGGGGCAAAGTAAATGGGGGCCTTTTTGGCTGTCCGTTTAATACTCTCTGCGTATCTAACTGCTTACAACCTGTTACGTTGACATATACACTGATTTGGTAAAATCACATATAGTCAGAATGTCGACCCTGTCTTCACGACGAACACTTTCTTTGTGCCCTAAGTAGATTAGGCAAAGATTAGTTAATAAAACATATATAGTCGAACGAGTATGCTTGGTGAGGCATGTTTAGGGTTTATTAGAGAAGCAGATGCATTTCGAGCGGTGATGGGCTCTTTTCAGCTTTCTAAACATTTTGTATAGGCGCGTGCAGAGTAAAAGCTCTCTCTGCCCATCGCTGATTTATGTAGAGTTACGGAAAAAAATATCGTTGAGATCGCCATATCTCTTGTTCTCCCACACCGAATTATTTAATCAAAAAACATACACTTGTGCCCAATTTAGTTCAGGTGAAATTATTCCATTTCACTTTAAAGTAATCCTGGTTATAAATTTAGTTTTAGGAAACCTAGTACTACTTTTCATTTTGGAAATTACAATGAATTTCGCTGAGTATGCGTTTTACTATTTGAATGGGGTTTCAAATATAAAACCCGACTTTCACATTTTTGTGCCGCAAGAAATTGCAAACCAACATTTCGGAATTGAATATTTTTTCAAACATTTCACATCACTTTTCGTCACTTTTCGTAGAAGACAAAGTCTCCCCGGATTGAAATTATCAAATTTTTAATTTTATAAACTTTACGAGGTCAGAACCCGTTGAATTCCTCGCAGGAATGTTAGAAAGATACTCTCAAACATATCTACCTTGTATTACTAATGCTCATAACAACTTTCCAAACCTTCAAATGGGTGTGGCCGTATGCTTAGTGTGGCAATATGTTTTCTACCAATAAATGTACAAATGCAAGCAACTAAACTTTTTCCTTGTGCCAATGAGCAGTCCATCAACATACATACATACATGCATACATACTACCGCTGCACAGTGGTTCAAAATTGGAATTTTATGTATGTACACAATTCACTGGAGCCTTCATTTTTCACTCAATTTGATTTTTTATTTTTATTTTTAATGAAAGCTAATAAAATTGCAAGATACCAGTTGAGGCTCATTTTTGAAATTTTTTGTTTGTATAACTTTTAATTTAGTAAGTTAATAAATGTTACATTATAAAAACTAGTTGAAAACAATTGTGGGGTTCTCCAAAAACGAAAAAAAATTGAAATTTTATGAAACAATTTTCATCAAAATTATATTTTTTTTTGTTTTTGGGTTTTATAAAAATGTTGGGTATGTAATTTTATAGATCATTAAATTTAAGTGTAATAAAGGCAAGTTTGAAGTGGCTAAGAGTTTGCGCTGATTTTTATAACAAACGCTTTTATTTCCTATTTATCATGCAACGCGACCTCTTAGCCACTTGCAAATTGCACTTTATTATACTAAAATTTAATTATCTATAAAGCTGCATACCCAGCATTTTTCTAGATACTCAATTTTTGTGATTTTTTTTAATCATTTCAATTTTTTTTTGGAAATTTGTTTTTTCGTTTCGGGGAAACCCTAAAATTCTTTTCAACTCGTTTTTATTGTTTAATAATTATTAACTGGAGCAGGAGGATTGATTTACTGCAAAATTGCAACTTTTTCTGCACTTTGCACTAAAAAATTTAATACAAGCAAACACAAATTTAAAAATCTTGCTCAACTGGTCTCTTGCAAATTTGATGAGCTTTCATTGAAAAAAAATATATATAACCAAATTGAGTGAAAAATGAAGGCTGCAGTAAATTGTGAACACTAAATTCCATCTGCGAACCACTGTGCGTTTCAAGTTAAACTAATGTACTTAGTTTCATGAGCGCCTGTATGTATATCTCGAATGTAAAAGCAGTAGTAGTCATGTTAGCC